GGTGGTGAGACCTGCAATGCTCTATGGCGCTGAATGTTGGCCTTTAAAAGAGAAGCATAATAATAAGTTAAGTGTTGCTTAGATGAGAATGATTAGGTGGATGAGTGGCTTTACACTTAAGAGACAAAATGCGAAATGAATATATTCGTGATAGGGTTGGTGTAGCTCCTGTGACGGACAAAATTAGAGAAAGTCGTCTTAGATGGTTTGGTCACATTAAACGTCGACCATCTGATGATCCGATTAGGAGAGTAGATGTTTTAAATTCTACTTGTGTTAAGAAAGACAAAGGTAGACCTAGGAAGTCTTGTGCTTATTGTATTAAAAATGATCTTAATTTACTAGAACTAAATGAAAATATGACACTAAATAGGACGCAATGGAGAAAAAGGATTCACGTAGCCGACCCCACGTAGTGGGATTAAGGCTTGGTTGTTATTGTTGTTGTTGTTGTTGTGATGTGTTGATATGATCCTTTTGACGGAAACCAATGCGGCACTTCAACTTCAAAAAACGGGGTCTATAAATAGACCTCAACGGATGTTAAGTGAAACTATCACATTTTTTGCTTTGTTTATCCCTTGGTCATTTTTCTTACGAAGCTCGATGGCCCCCAAATATTCTTCTAAAATTTTTGGTTCGGTTAGGTCTTCTAAGAGATTTAATTAGATGTTAAGTTATTTGATTAAACTTGTGTTTACGACACAAGTGTTGCCTTAGATCAAATGGATGTGGGGGTTCGAGCCACTGACTTCTTCAACGATGATTTAATTTTCTACCTAGACCAGTTCTGTCGCGGGCTTCAACTGTCACTTTGCACAGAGATTCGTTCAATCTTCAACTTTTATGGCGTATCTCCGCTCAAGTTAAACGAAACTCAATCACTGTAGTGATCACGTACATAATTAAATTGCATAGATGGGGCTTCCCTTGGTGCCGTGAATTATTGCATATGTTATCCATTTGGATTGAATCAAATGGGTCTGTGGCTTTCGGCACCACTCGGATATTCTATTTAATCAATCTGGAGAACAAGATCAAAAACTGGAAGCATCGTTTCTTGAGAGGTGCCAGTGATGATTAAGGCATCCCAACTAGGGCCATGTTTAAGAAAAGTAAATTAATTTCTCCCCAGGTGAAAGTGATGGAGCAGACCATACTTGGTTGGCAATTATCTGAAGTTCAATATACCGACCCCTTAGCCGTCAATGGGATGCTTAACTCAAGTGTATATGACCTCAAGAAAAAAGAGATGTAGGTCGTCTTTGATGAGGTCGAGGAGAAGAGGCAATTAGAGAAGGTTGAGAGACTCTCTAAAAAGGCACCAAGAAAAAGGAAAAAGATAGACGATTCTTCCACCAGAGAAGGAGAGGAAGAGAGAATCGAAGAAACTGGCCCGTCTAAAGGGTATATACCGGTTCATATTTCATTCACTCAGTTTCAAAAACTTCTGTAGTAAAACTGATCGAGCGAAAAGCTCCTTCGGTAATTATAGGTGATTTGGGGGATGATGTGACTCCCTCTCTCTATCCAATAGATACTTAAGGCTCTGCTAGGTATCTTTCAACACAAGAGACCTTTCAATCGCCCTCGACTGATTTTATTCCTCTATCGAAAAGGGATGAGGCAAGTCGTCGATCTCCTCAGGTGGAGGCTGTAGATGAACCTGATGGTGAGGATTCGCCGGAGAGCGTGAGAGAAAGCCCTGTTTCTGCTAAATTGTCCAAGTGTAGGAGAAAAGATAAGATATATGCTCCTATTTTTCACGAGCCATATTAGCAATTCTTGGCATTCGATTCTATAATCCACTTAGGCAATCACAAGAGAAAAGTAGTTTTTATATCTCAAAATTCACCAAACCAATTGATATAGTTAGGGTTAGCTTTAAACTCAGTGCTATAGTTTAGGAGTAACAGTTAGAAAAACCATTTTAATTTATATTCCAAACTAAGACCTTAGCGTAGTAGACTAGAACTTCGCCCAAAGGAATCATTACCTCCTTCCCTGTGGGATCGACAATCTGGGCTCAATAGAGCCCTACATTATTGAAACGACAAGTATACTTGTGTGAGAAATCCCAGTGAATAATAATACATAATTTTAAAAGCTCAATTAATTTGCAAGGGAGCGAATCAAGTTTCTAGTGTCATTACCAGGACTTACATTATTGCAATAATCGCTGGGGCGGATCACTGCTCGACTCTTCGATTCCTCTCCGCCCTTTTTGTCTCCTCTCCCCATGTAACAGAAACGAGCGTTACAAGAAAGGTGCTGATAGTCCTTACATTCATGTTATTAAAAATATGTATACTAGAGTTGTTACTTGTGTTCGAACACAAAGAGGATTGACACAGTATTTTCTTATTTCGGTTGAGTATGTCAGGGATCGGCTTTAAGCTCATATATTTTTGCTTTAGTTATGGAAGTTCTTATTGGACATTTATAGGAGGATTAACCGTGATGTATGTTTTTCATTGTTGTTATCCTTCTTGTGTATAGGACTAGAGAGAGTTTAGGAAAAAGCTAATTTATGAAGGTCAACTTTAGACATAAGGCTTTCGTTTGAATAGATCTAAAACTAAATACATGACATGTAATTTTAGTAAAAGTAGATCTAGTGGCAAGGTTGTAACATTTAGAGACCAAATTATTAAAATGAGTGAATGTTTTAGATGTCTCAGTTCTATCTTGTTCAAATTGAAGGTGATATAGATGGGGATGTTATTAATAGAGTTCAAGTTGGATGGTTGAAGTGGAGGAATGCATCGGGACTATTGTGTGATAGAAAAGTAATGCTTAGACTTAAACAAAAAATTTTATAAGATAGGTGCTGAGACCTGCAATGCTTTATGGCGCAAAATTTTCGCTTGTAAAAGAGAAGCTTAAAATTAATTTTTAAGAGTTGCGGAGATGAGAATGCTCAGGTGGATGAGTGGCTTTACACTTAGAGATAAAATACGAAATGAATATATCCGTGAAAGGTTTGGAGTACCTCCAATGATAGACAAGATTAGAGTTACCTTATTTGGTTTGGTCACATTAAAGGAAAACCATCAAACCATCCGATGATCTTGGTCTATCAAGAGAGTAGATATTTTAGATTTGACTTTTGTTAAGCTAGAGATAGGCCTAAAAAGAATTGGGCATGTTGTATAAAAAAACGATCTTAATTTATTAGAATCAAATGAAAATATGATACTCAAAAGGACACAATGAAGAAAAATGATTCTTATAGTGACCCCTCTTAGTAGGATAAAGACTTGTATTTGTTGTTGTTATTGCAAAGGCATTAAATATACACATTTTAAAAAACATTTAAAAACATGATTAATCAGGAATATCTATCGATAAAATCATACCAATGCTCTGGGTGCACTTAAGTTCTTAACAACTCCTTTCAATTGAAAAATATGATTATATGATATATGCGTGAATATATGATAATATAATCGAAGTTGGATTTGAATAGAAAATGGAGATCAAATTTGAACACTCACCACTCTGTCTCAGCTCGCCTGTGTATAAATTCATCTGCAACCTGTCAAAACTTGCATTTGAGTTGAATAGCATAACAGAAAGAAGAAATTCAATAATTGCACTGAATAACTTGCAAACAATGACTACCCCAACAAAATCAAGAAATTAAGAATACGTATGCAGATTATAAGAAATTATAAGACCAGGGGGCCACCAATAAATGAGCATCATAATATTTTAAAACTAATAAATAGGTCAAAAACCTATACTTGAATGTAGATTATAATGTAAGGAGCTAGCACGACTATCTCATGGTTATCTTTTTTTCTCAAAACAAAATTATGTACTTTTAGAGTAGTTGGTCGATGCAGCTATGTATTTTAGTATGTATTTGAGATGACATAAGCTAAGTTGCTTACTTTATTTCTCAGTTCATCAGCTAGCTGCTTTTGGAGGTTTTCACTTGGTGTTGGTTTGCCTGCTCTCAAGCAGGCACCATGAGTCACTGCTCTGAACAAACATCTCCCATCACCAGGAATACCTAAAGTTGGAAAACCAAGAAAATTTGTCAGCAAATACAATTTACAGGAAAAAATGTCCGAATGGAGAGCAGGCATGGGAAGTCCTAGAGAATGCTATTAACAAGTAACATTTCATGGCAGTAATAAACAGCACGTTAGGGAGTAAATAAAATATTTCTAGGGAGTTTTTTTATTTTATTTTCTTATTATTTACTTTTTGAACCAACGTTTTGTCAGTTCATTATATTATATTTTGAGCTTTTATATATTTAGGTCATTAACATGAATTGGGTCTTGTGTTGTGAGCTATGTAATGTACAATATATATGTTGCAATGATGAAGCCCAAGCGTTTGAATAATCCTAGCTCAATTTATCCTTTTGACTACCTTTGACCACTATCACATTAGTTGAATTGCATGAGATTTTGATCATCACATCACATTGCTTGCTCCAGTCTTTATTCTTTCGGCAAACTCTGGTTGAGGCCAAGCCAATTCATTGATGGAAAATAAGTTACAGAGACTCAAAAGGGTAAACAAAGAAAACAAAAGAGGTCACATTAATGACCTCTAGAAGATCTAAAGATGAGACTATAGTGTCTTTTGTCATGTAAATGTTAATCATATAGGATTACCCTCATATGAAACTAACAGAGGATGTTATGTATCTATGCACATTGAGAAAATGATAAAGGTGTATCTTCTTGTGCAAATTGAAGGTACTTACGGGTACATTTTGAGGGTACTTACAGATATATTTTGAGGATACCTTCAGGTATGGCGGTAATTATATTATGACTATTAAATAGGTTAAAATAGTAAATACTTAAAGTGAAACGAGAAATGATAGAAAATGAATGTTCAAAGTTTAATAAGGTTGGTCATTCATGCATAGCATAAACTTCATAATTTAATGCATATTAAGATTATAATTACTCACTAAGTCAAACTTAACGTTGAAATTAATGTTTTATTTCAGGAACAAAAAAGCTTTAGGTTGATAATGTCTGGTATGAGATATTTGATTTACAGGAGGACTGCAGTTGATATGTGCTAGTTATGTTGTTTTGGTTTCTTTTTATTATTTACTTCAGATTTGATACATTGTTCAGTACTAGTTTAAGATGTTATTTTCAGATAATGTTATTGTTTCTAGATGTTTAAACTTATTACACTTTATGGATATTAGTAGCTCTTTTATATATTGAAAATTTCTTGTGAAAAAAAAAAACGAAATGTTAACACCGCCCGACCGCAGTTCCTGCCTTAATTAATCCTAAGCACCAAGCGAGGTCGTGACACAAAATAAGTTCCAAAAATCCAAGGATAGACAACAATGGAAAACAAGAGAATAGATAGTCAATTGAGAAGGTAGGGATTTCATCGTAGCTCTCAAAAAGTCCAAAATGGGAAGCGCTTCATAGGAGGAACAACAACCAACAGTTGAAAAAACCAAATTCTCAATCACCATACAGATAAGGTTAGAGTGAAAATGGTTGTTGATAGGGAATTTTTCCTTTAAACTTTATCTCCTGCACATTTGCCTAATGGAAAAATGAATTTTTTCCAGAAGGATGCTCAATGAGTTATTGGCATTATTAAAGATTCTGTAGTGTCTTTCCAACTAAATAAAATGAGAAGTTATATGAACAGCCAAGATATAAATTTTTTTTATGATTTTCCACATAAAGGTTTCACCATGAACTAGCACATGAGGAAGATTACAACCAAGAAAAAAAAAAGAGTTATGGAGTATAATAGGCTTAAGTATAGAGAGAAAGAGAGAGAGTGTGTGTGATGACATTCAAAGAACACATGAGAATGTGTTTCTTGGTGATCACCACAAAACAAACATTAGACAATGGCTCCAATATCACTTCTCAAAAGTATATCTTTAGTTTTAGGCCTCCAAAGAGAATTTTTCATATAATTATAGCATATTTAAATGCATGGCCTTTGAACCATCGGAGTTTTGTCCAGCTTATTATCGGGTGATCCTCATGCAAAAAAGAGTAAATAGTAAATTGAGAGCAGTGGTTTTTCACTTTCCAAGTAATAGAAGTCTCAATAGTAATGTTATATATAAGGTGAATGCAACTATCTGTTGAGATATTTATTTAGTTTAGGGTCCTATTGACAAAAAGAAGATATAGAAGCCTAGGAGTTTATTTGTAAAACTTTTTAATGAATAATAGATTTTGGTTCATCTCGACATTTGATAGGTACTGTAAGAGAGTTCTCTTCCTATACTAACCGAACAGTTCCGAAGAGCATCTAGACTGCTGATGGTACAACATAGACCATAATTGACAACCTAGGACATGTTGGGTTTTAGATCCTTAACATCCAATGTTTCGCTCTGGAAACGTGAGATAAACGACAACAAGCTCTTATTGGCTTCCTGCTTCAGCTGCCGCAAGGATTGGGTGCTCTTCTTAGGCCTCATGGCACTGACAAATTATGATAAAATGAGTCTAATGAACTCCACAAACAAGTGATTACCCCCAAGGGCAACCCTTCGAACCACATTAGTGCGGTTGATCTCAAAGTCGTGAAGAAAAGCTTATGCTTGAGAGCAACAAAAATTTCAATAGATATATGAACAATTCGAACGACGTGAGGTGGTCGTTGGGATTCGATCTTCCTTTATGTGATTCTAAGATGGGCATTTTGAACTTCTCCGAGGGTTCATCTCCCAAGACCTGTAGAGAGAATACATTTTCCAGCTGCCTCTGCGCCTTGGTCCATGTTAGTCGGTTCCTCTCCTCCACAAGGGCAAATCCAGCGCTGTCTTAGTACAACCCGTCGTCAGGCTTCTTCTGTAGGTGAATAAAACTTCCTATATTGTTTGCTGGTGGTTCTCCTTGAGCGGGGTTAGGTGCTCCTCAATGGGCTGGTTCTCCTCCTGGGACTGGGACTGCCCCCAAGACAGCCACAGCTCTGAGTACCTCTGCAAATTGACCTGACATCTAGTTGGTGATTTGAGTTTTCAAATCATGTAAGCAATTTCAAACGAATTCTTCCATGAACTCCCTAGTGCATGCTGCTTCCACCATGTTACTTTGACTACATTCTCTCTGTTGTTGTTGTTAGAGTCCTCTTCTTGTTGGCAGCATGTTTCCATGTTCACACCTTAAAGAATGTTGAATTCAAAAATATCCAGGAAACGCGCCCAAGGTATAGAACGTTCTATAAGAGAGAGAGAGAGAGAGTATAGTAAGGAACATTAAAAGAGAGTATCCTCTTTATTCCTGACACGAATCCTATATTTATAGGCATAGGTCTCAACATTACAAAAGTACATATTAGCCCCCTCATCTTTGATTTGTCAGAAAGACTTTTTGGTAATTTATAGAGATATTTGGATATAATAAAATTAGAAGACTGGTTCGATCAACAGGAAGTTCACCGACCGCCTACCGAGCCTTGACTCCATCGACATCTGATCCAAGAGGATACTCCTTGCCGGTCGTCCTGAAGGCCAATCTCCGCCTTGTGAGAGATCCCCCGACACGCTCTACTGATCTTTTGAACAAGGCGCTCCCTTCGCCAATTTCCAAATCAAACGGTTGTCTATGAGTTACGTCCAATCGGTCATATCTTCTTCCTGAACCGCCCATTTGTCTTGCTGACATATTTTTCATATACAAGAATATGGTCGATATGTAGTTAGCTCTCAAACTGAAATTCAAATGATTAAATTACAAAATTGCACAAAATTATAAAAAGGTTGAGGAATGAAATACACAATTTATTCTTTATAAGAAGATTCATTTCAATAAGAAGCATTATTGCTGTCAGGACTAATAGGTGCGTCAGAACAGGCTTTGTGGGTTATTCTCCTCGGGCAGTTTCTCAAAATCAACACAACAAAAATTTGGGTTTTTCGCCTCCGGCAGTTTCTCAAAATCAACACAACAAAAATTTAATGCCTTTCGGAGAGGAACAATTGAAGAACCAAACAGCCGATCGTCTAAACGAAATATCAAATCAAACGTAAAGTAGAGCTAAAAGAAGACAAACCTAACTCGCTTTCCATACCCAGCCTGATCAGGACAAACTGAAGACCTAAAGACAGGGCAAAAGGGGCTTAAAGGAAGACGAAATAGCTGGGCCCAATTCACACGAAAAGAAAACAATCTAATTCGAATTCGAAAGTTGCACGAAATAAAGAAAGTGAACAGTGATGTGAAGGCAAAGTAACGAAGTTAGGAGGGATAAACAGGACGCTTCAACACAGACGAAAACCACATACGAATCGATCGCAGCGGAGGAAGATCGGTACCGACCATCGTCCGATCCGATCCGAACATCAAATTCCAACCAACATGGACATGGAATCGACTTTATTCTTCTAAGCCATGTTCTCCATTTGTAGAATAGGGAAGGAAGAAGGCGAAGATTGTTGATCAGTAGTACATACCTGTGAGCAATGAGCTCCGGACGAAAGAGGGAAGAAGTATTTTGGAAATTTACTGGTAATGGAGATGAAAAAGCGGAGTGAGGAGGGAATTTGATTCTGTTTGATGTCGTGCCAATCATCCGATGCTGCGTTTCTTTCATCTCCTAATCTCACTTTTGGCTTTGCGATTCATGGCTGCCCTCTTAGATGCGTGGCGCGCCATGGAAACTCCTTTCTTGCCTTCCCTCTTTCATGGAAATTACACAACGACGACTTGATAATTAGCCGTTAAGCGACTAGTTTTTTGTTATCACATTTTGAGAATGTTTTTTAATAGAGTTTTGTTAATTTTTATAAAAATTTGAGAGTTTATAAATAAGAAAAATTTTCTGTCTCGACTTTTGATGTAGCTCTACGTGCGGACTCAATAATATGTTATCACGCTCGACTTTTGATGTAGCTCTACGTGCGGACTCAATAATATGTTAGCACGTGTGCTGCATTACGGAGGTTATTGAATTGGATACACGAAAATTATTTCAGGATTATTTCGGTGTGCTGCATTACGGAGGTTATTGAATTGGATACAGGAAAATTATTTCAGGGTTATTGAAGAGAAACTCGTTTATTTTATTTCAATAACCCAGATATAACCCTGAAATAACCTCTGCGGTCCACTTCAATAACCCAGAAATAACACCAAGGAAGTTATTTTAGGGTTTTTTTTTGGTCATTGAAGTGGAATATATAAGTTTCTGTTCAATAATCCTGAAATAACCCTAAAATAACTTTCACGGTGTTATTTTGGGATGTTATTTCGGGGTTATTAAAGTGGAACCGCGGAACTTATTTAGAGGTTATTTCAGGATTATTACGGAGTCTACGGTTCCAATTTAATATTTTTTAGGTGGGCACGATATAGTACACATGACTGTATATTATTGAGAGTTCGCACGCGGAGCTACATCCGGAGTCCAAACAAAAATTCATAGTACACATGACTGTATATTATTGAGAGTTCGCATGCGGAGCTACATTCGGAGTTTGCCCAAAATTTTTTTCCTTATAAATGATGTAACTTTTATAGAATAATAAACTTGTAAAAAAATTCAAATCATCATTTTCTCTAAAGTTTTCTTTTTAAAATATTTCTTCCTAAAATCCCTTGAACTAAATAGACACAAAATAAAATTCAAGTAAGATGTGCAGGTAATCAAATAATGTTCTTAAGAGCTATTTAAATATTTCATCTTAACTTTATCTACTAATGTTAGTGGTGTTCTTTCAACTTATTTTATTATTTTGCTGCTTTTAAATTTTGGATCGATAAGCAACTATTTACAATCAAATTTGCAATTGTAGGATGATTGAGAGACATTAATTGTCTTATATTTTCAAAGAGAAAAAAACTATAAACCCTGCAAGTTATCTCAGAAAACTACATTTTCATAATGGCCCTACAATTGTATTTACAAAGTACTATAGCCCTCTAAATAAGCCTTTAGGAAGCCTTTGATTGTAACTAGAAATTGGATTGTAATTGGCAGTGCAGGGGAGCACATAAGTTGTATTAATTTTGTATGTGATATTGCTATTATATAAAGGTGTTGAATGAAATAAACTTATCTATTGTAGGAGAATGAGGTTTGTGCACCATTTCACTCTAGCAATTTAGTAAATAAATTGTAATCGTCATGTTTAACTTTATCCAACCTTTAGGAACAATTGCGAAAATAAGGGTTCTTTATTCGTTCATATCGACTACCATGTGACATGATGAATTTGTTTTATGCAAATATGTTAACACAATCTCTCAAGATTATCTCTATTCTTTTCGTTTTTATTAATAATTCCTCAATACTAATTTTATTTAATATTTTTAAATGGGCATTTTATAGATGTTGAAACTATAAAATTATATTCCTCACATTTTAATATTCAATTTATACTACTTCATTAGTCTATATAACATTATTGTATGCTAGAAAATTCATGATTCAGGATAGTAGAGTAAGTTTTAAATCATAGTGTTATATGAAGAATACCCATACACACTACAAAAATTTATGGAAAGACACTATAAGTTTCACATGAAAAACTTAAGATAAGGAAATATCACAGGGCTTTACCTAAAGGAAATAATTCACTTTACAATTAAGATTATAGTTTTTCAATTTTCTCTTAGATTATTTGGACACATAAAATATGCAAGCACAAATCTCGAAGAGGTCTGACGATCCAGGAGACAAAAGAAATATCTAAGGGTGGACTGATCGGTAGAGGCCCCGGGGGCCTAGATGTCCAACCAGATAAACCGAACTTAGCAGACTAAAGTCATAAAGACAACCAAACGACATGATTCAAACAACTCGCCCAAATACAAGACAATAGAACCATCGGAGCCCAACTCCTCTATGCAACCAACTTGAGGAAGGTGTCAATCCCTCAAATCCTATGGCCATACCAAGAAGCGACCAATATACTTCCCTCAATATCACCAAGAGCCAAAAAAGATTAGTATCAGACATGCCCCACAACCACTTCATTTAAGGGTAGACAACTTGTCGAATTACAGTGATTTACCTTCTACCCATCGACATAGCTTCACTTTATTGACGGGATCTCTCTGACAGAAATCAAGGGTAGATGGTCGGACTATGCCAACTGATTCGCAAGGCTTAGCCATTTAGATCAATCTTACTCACCCTCAACCAGTAAAGATTAGTCGGATGGCAACGTCTACTGATATGGTCGTCCGACAGCACAGATCGAGTCTCTCACTCCTCAACTAAACATATGTCATGATTTAGATAGCACAACCAATCGGCAACATCTACCAGATCTAACCAATCAGTAAAGCTCACCATGGTCCTACCAAGCCTAGACAACTGATCCAGAGAGCAGCAAGGCCTTAGGCCAACGAGACTAAAATATCGAGAATAATCTTTACAACCCCACTAAACCACGGGCATAAATATAACTTCACTTATTTTTTGACATCATTTTTGATGAGATCTAGCTTTCTCTTCTTTACAGGCCTAGGATCTAGCCATAGAACTTTCCTGTTGACTATACTAGAGGACTAGTGATGAATCCCTCATTTAGAAATTCTAAACACTTATTCTTTTATGGAGTTTTATATGTTAGTTCTAACCTCTAGCGCTTAGAAGGTTGGAACCAACATGGGCAAACTCATAGAGAACTTTTGTAGGATGGAGCCTTAGGATGACCCTAGGTGGCTTGGTCTTGGTCTATTGCACACATACACTTGAGCCAAATGCAAACCCACACACTCCAAACCCTAAAATCACTTACACTTCACGTACCTCCTAACTCTTTTGGAAACTCTTGAGGGTGGTCTCAAGCCCTAGACCTTTGGTCAAGATGGCCAGGATCAACATATGGAGAGTCCAAAATCAGTTCTCATATAGACCTTATAGCTTTAGGGTAACTTTTCATGGCTTGCATAACCACATCATCCAATCTACTCCAAATTCTCCCAAATTCACCAAAATAACAAAAACGCCATTTCATCCCTAAATTTTTCAAAAATTTCCCAAAGCACCCAATTTTCACCAAAATCACCTTTAAGCCCTTCCAAGTTACCCATATGCCCCAATTCCATCAAAATTGACCAAAATACCACCAAATTATCAAATTCCCCAAAATTGTTTGAAAAACCAAAATTCCTAAATTGCTCCAATTTTTACCAAATTCATTTCAAATACACCCAATTCCAAATTCAAACTTAATCTCACCAATTTTCAAACCCAAATTCAAATTCAAGCCAAACCACCCCAAATTAACCCTAAATCCAATCTCCACCAAATTGAACCCATGAGCCAAAATCAAACCCAAATTCAAATTCAAGTCCAAATTTCATCATGAAAAATCCTAAAATTCACCAAAGACCAAAATTAACACTTTTATCCCATGATTAAATTTCAAAATCCCACCATACTTGATTTTAAAAGCCCATGCTTAAGAAAAATGTCGAAAGCCCAAACTTCAATTCTTTTTGAAAAGCTCAAAGCGCACATGACAATTTCATCTTCATCATCCATTTAATCAAATCAAACCATAGACCATGCCATACATGATTAAATTATCTCATATCTGGATTTATACCAACACCTCACTAAAATCCCCTAAATTCCTAAATCATTCTTCATGAAAGTTGGCTAAGTCGCATGCAGGCCATCGAGTATTCTCCAAGTCATATGTGAGTCATATGAGCCATGGAAAGTCCGCAATGCCTTAAGTGGAAAAAGGAGGACCTCCTTTCATCTCCAACTAAAGTGACTTAACAAAAACCCTAACCCCACCAAATTCATATTTTCCATGCCAAATCAACCAGCCAAGTCACTAGAAGTTGACCCATCAACTCCAGTTACCTTGGACTTGACCCAAGTCATTTTCCATGGGGTTAAACCCACCATGATTAACCCAACTTAACCTAAACTCATGGTCCATTTTGGAAAATTGCAATTACCCATGCTTGGAGAAAATTAACTTTACATCTCCTAAATTTTGACCTCCCACGGTGTGGAGGTGACTTTGCCTGACCGACCGCCCACTCTAGCTGTTTTTAAAACACCATGGCCAAGAGAACCCCAATGGAGAAAACACCCAATTGGACGCATCCAAGCTGGCTCAACCCAATTGGTCACTTGTCGTCTTCTTCACTCCACCTAAGCAAGCCCTTACACCCACTGGTTAGCCCAATTGAGCCCTCCTTCCTTCTCTATAAATAAGTCATAACCGTACAACCAAAGTGGAAAAGTGCACAATCCTTGAGTAAACTCTGTCAAAATCATTCCAAACTTCCATTACACTCACATGAAGCTCATCTTCATCATCTTTTGCCCCTCTTCCCCACTGAGAAACTCTAACCTCATCACTGAAATCTAAAGCTTTTTCGGCCATTCCACCAAACTCCAGAAACCTCAAATTTATTGTTCTAACAGCTTCCCCACACTTTAAAATCACTTCCCCAATCGAAGGCCCATCATCTCGACCACCTAACCTAGTCCTAGACCAACCCTTCGATCGAACTCCTACACATACCCAACCATAGATCAATTTAAAGATTGGAGGATGTTCGTGGGATCAAGGCGAAGCTCAGGAACCAATTCAATTGAGGCTACACCTCTGGGACAAAGGTATGGATCAAAATCCCTAATTTTTCCCTCAGTTTGGAACTTTATGAAGCAAACTTGTATTTCATATGTATTTAGCTGCATAGATTTGTTCGTCTCACTTAGATGAAGGTGTAGGAACAAATCTCACTTAATTTGGTTGAGTATCGAGCGAGATCTTATGGTTAGAAAATGAGCGGTTCTTGGGTTAGGAAGATCGGGGATGATGAACAGATGTCGTCTATTTTTTTTTTGTATCAAACAATCGACGTGTATGCGGTCTAACGAAGTAATGGAGCTTGAACATAGAGCTGACGAGGCACTGATGCGGATGGTGGTTGCAAATCAAAACGCAACACGCAGGGTTTTAGAGGCGCCAATAATACAATCAGCACCGACGTGGATAAATAGAAAATTAGGGATTTTTCTAATTTAAATAATTATAGAAACTTTAAAAATTCATAATTTGGTGTAGACAAATACTAAAAAAAAAAATACCCCTGTGCTCAGTGAACAGAGGAGAATAATGTGGACAAAAAAACAAAAAAATATTCGCTTTATAATTATTTTTCAATTAATTAAATGCTCTGAAAATTTCTTAAATTGTAAATAATTAAATCTTAATCATAAAAATGTGAAATTTAGGGATGAGCTCTAATTTTTTCCCAAGTCAGAGGACAACTCTAATATTTGAATATTTAATTTTCAAAATAGATCACCCTTATTTTGCTTAAAATAATTATAAAAAATAAAATATAATTCAAAAAATTACAAAAATTAATTTGGTAGGTTCACTATTGTCAAAAGAACTTAAGAAAGATAAAATTAAAAATTAAAAAATTTAAAGTCTATTTTTCCTATTTTAAAATTAAGGAAAATACAAAAAATAAGAAAAATATAAAATAACTCAAAAAGTCATCAAAATAACGCATATTGAAGAAAATGACCTTAGGAAGTCTTTGTAAAAATTGTTGAGGCAATAAAATTATTTTTAATGTAAAAATGTATTTTCTAAGTAAATAAAAATTTGACTTTAAATAATTATAGAAATTAAAGTATAAATAAAAAATTATGAAAGATAGTTTGGAGTGTTTTTTAAAATAGAGCTATCTAAGAAAAATAAAATTGAAGCCAAAATAAAATGTTTATTTTAGCCTATTTTCTTAATTAAATATTAATTAAAAAAACCAAAAATCACAAAAATGCCTAAAATGTGTCAAAATGTAATAAATTACTTCCTGATTGAAGAAAACAACTTAAAATGTTTCTATAAATTTTTTGGATTTTAAAAAATGTATTTTCCTATATTTTTTACTTAAAAAATATTAAAAATAGAATAAAAGTTAGAAAAAAATGAAATTAATGGGTATGTTCTAATTAAGTAAATGAATCAAATTTGAAAATCCCCATTTTTGAACTAAAATAATTATAAAAAATAAAATAAAATAAATACAAAGTCTTTCCGGTGTCTTAATTAACCCATGAGTAGCAATCCAAAAAAGTTTTACAGTCATTTGAATAAAATTAAGAGAATTATGAAGAAAAGAACGCTATGGGTAAAATAGTAATTATGGAATTTTGAGCCCTAATCTTTGATTGATCCTACTATATTCAAAGTTATTTATATTTCTTTCATAACTATTGATAATACTAGCCAATATTGAACTATAACTATTTTTAAAATTTAATACACCTTTGACTCTCACATTTAGTCTTAACTCTCAATACACTTCACATTATTTTTGAAATTATTTGACCATAATCCTTATCATGAAGAGAAATCATATGAAAATATTTTCTTATTCTTTATATTTCTCTATTAATTTACTTAGAACAAAAATATTTTCTCAATGAATTATAATTTTATTTTATTCCGACTATAAGTTTTTTATATGAATTATAATTTTATTTTGCTCTTAAATATTATATCATAATATTTTTTTCTCGGGTTATTAATTAGTAATATATATCATTAATTCTTTCAACATATTATTTTGAAATGACTTATTTGAAATTATCACCAAATAAAATTTTTAGAGTATCATTTTTTTTTCTTGATATTTTCTTTTCTTTCAATATAATTTGATTAATTACACTTTTTACATCAAAAGTTTTTTATTTACACTTATAAGATAGTAAAGGTGATATTTTTGATATGATGTTAACAATTTGAGTAATAAACATGTAAGT